TCGAGGGATAGCCGCATCGGGTGATGTCTACGTCGGACAGCGGTTCCGTCGGAGGGCTGGGGGAAGAGACCTCAGCCACGCAACAGCAACACGCCGAGGATCCGGCGATTGCGAGGCTGGAGGGCCAGTTATCGCAGCTGATGAGCGTAGTGATGGAGTTGAAGAGGAAGGAGCCTGGTGACGCCGTGGCGGGCGATGCCAGTAGGGGCGGCGGTGCTGCCGTCCCAAGCCAGAGAGAGGCTCTGCCGCCCGGGGGCGGCGGGGTATTTCCGTGGGAAACGGCCCGTGATGGGCGAACTCATCCGCGGGAAAGCAGCTGGGACAACATACCGGGAGCGAGTCCTGGGGTTCCAGCGAGAGTGGCGGCTGGCTGGGCAAGTAGATCGGGAGCGAACCCTGAGGGGCCAGCCGGAATGAGCCCGGCGTAGGTCCGGACCGCGGGGAAGCGAGGGGGTTAACCCCCCAAGAGAACCAACAAGCCAAATTCTTGTTGGAGACGGCTACAACTCTGGACCGGAGCGAGATAATCAGGGTAGTCAGTACCGTGCACGCGAGCCTCCCGGAGGGGAGGAGGGCCACGAAGGGCCAGCGGAAGGCGGAGCATGCTTTCCTCGCGAACCACGGTGGCAACAGGGGCGGAGCGCCCGGCCGCAGCAGCGGCGGCCGCAACAAGGGCGGCGGCGGCGGCGGTGGTAGCCAAATGGGGAAAGGGGGTGGTAGCAAGGGCGGTGGTGGTGGCAACAGCGGCGGAGGCGGCGGCGGTGCAGGTAGCATGCACGGTCGCTGCTTCTGGTGCGGAGAGAAGGGTCACCAGTCGGCCGCCTGTACGAAGCCCGAGCCTCTGCGATGCGAGAAATGCCTGGGCTACGGACACGACAAGAGCAAGTGCTCGTCCGAGCAGGCGGTGCTCGCGGTGGAACTGCCGGTCTTGGACGNTGATCGAGGGGGTGTAGAGCAGGCCAGGCAGGAAAGGTTTGTGGCCGATACCGGCGCAACCAACCACATGTTCCCGAGCGCTAACGCGTTCGAAAACTACCATGAGTGCGATCGACGTTTGAGTGTCGCCGCAGGGAAGGAAGCCTTCGCCATAGTAGGCTACGGCGACGCGAGGGTGACCATCGGTTCTCGCGTTGGGACCACAGACCTGCTGTTAAAACGGGTCACTCATGTGCCGGAGCTGAATTACAACCTCGTGTCCCTCACAGCCCTTTTGAAGCAAACCAAGGGCCGCTTAGCCGCAGACGAGCGTGAGTTGGAGGTGTTCGTTGGTGGG